GGGAAATGAAGACACAGAGACAGTCAGAAATGGTTATCTACCATGTGTATTTAAACTTGGCAGTCTGCTAAATCCCAAGGGTAGCATGTTCATGGACTACTATTTGGCTTGGCATTTTGCAGACAGAACAAGTCTTTTGAAGTCTCATGAAAAGTTATGAGGATCAGAAGAAAATTAAGAAGACACAGCACCATGCTGTCCTCCACATGTCATTTAGTTACAATTTTTTGATCCATCTTCTCTTCTTTCTCCTCTTCTAGACATACCCAAATTCAGACATTTCAATATCTGAAAACAAAGGATGCAGTGCAGCAATACAACCAGTTCTCAGGTGCTATAAGCTGCTCTGGCTAGCGTACTAAAAATTGCAATAAAGATGCACAAAAGCAGAAGTTTCAGCAGGCTTTTTCAATGGGAGAAGAAAAAATAAACACCAAAAGCAAGTGTTCCATGCTAAAACCCAAATTTTTGTAGCTTTACATTTTAGAAACACTCAGACCTCTGTTCTCCATCCCAGCTTAATGACCATAGGGAGCCTAAAATGGCTTTCTTCAACCCATCCCAAACTAAATGAATAAATAAATAAGCAAATAAATAAAATAATAATCTAACAAGCAACAGATGTTTAAACTTGCTTCGGCTGCAATTGAAACAAAGTCTTTGTGCTACAGAGTGTTTCAAAGCTTTGCATAGTCCCTCTGTTTCTCAGTGGCAGTTCTTGTGGTAGGGCTAGGCAAGTACTTTTCTCCTTAGGCCCTGTCCCTCAACTCTCCACTGTTTTATATAAAAGAACTTTAATAAATGTGCCTGGCTGGCTCTTCTTTAGCCCATCAAAGCATCAGACTTCACAGAATGGTGTATACTTTTACTAAATTCCTTTACAATTTCCTCACTAAGTCATTTCTCACTGGGGCTAACAAAACAAATCAAATGTGAAACTCCTAGACCAAGGCAGAGCATTACTTTTCCTCTCAGTAGTCAAAATAAAAAAAATGATACATCCAGTCATTCTAAGAAGAGATTTAAAATATTTATGTATCAAAAATCAAGTGTACCATGTTAATATAGTTCAGAATAGCTATGATTGTAAACAATGAGACAATTATACACTATTGTAAAATGACTAAAACAGAGCAAGGGACAGAAAACAGACAACAGTGTTCAACAAAACATTTTTAGGTAGTTTAGTATTTTTTACTTAAGTAGATGGTAGCAAAGGTCACTCTTTTGACAGCAGTTGTCGTTGTGGTTTAGTAAACAGAACTATATTAATGTTTCAGGGAATTCTGATTTAGGCCTCTTTTCCGGGGAGCTGACTTCCTTTTCTTTTTTTCCCCATTAGATTCATTAAATACCATATTCCACAAACAGCCCTATTAAAGAAGTCATTTCTATTAAGACATCCTCTGTATTTCTTTGTCATTGTATAGAGGCATTAAGAAGGCCTGAACTCCAGCTAGGTAATGTCACTGTCACATCAAACCAAACTGAGTTAAGAAAATGCAAACTCCCAGAATGGAATTACAGTCCAGCGTTTGTAGAGATTTTTCTCAGCAATTAATAAAGACTACTTATTTTCATGGTGTGCAGTTCAATAAACATTAATTAAAAATTAATAGTAGTTTCTTAGCATAGAAATACTGAGGAAAGTAGATGTTTGAATATTTACTCAGTGGTAGGCAATATCACTTGTAAATCACACTTTTCTAGTGTGTCAGTTCACATAACTCATACAAGGAGTAAGCTGAAAGGCTGGATGTCTTTCAGAAAGATGCATGGGCAAGCCTCTTGTTGTGGGGGCCACGTTCAGGCAAAATTAACAAATCCAGTGACAGAATGTCTGCTTAACTCATAAATCTCTAGAGAATTTTTAGGTTTAGCCTGGAGCGATATTTGTATGTATGTCAATGAACTGAAAATCAAAGCCCCTCGCCTGGCCTAGGGGAAAGGAAATGCATCATGAGAATAGGATACTTTCCAACTCTAAGGATTCCTTATAATTTTCAACTGAACACCTCCAGGTTAATACTGTAGCAACAAGACACTCACAGTGGAATGTATTGAACAGCCCTTTCTTGATTAATGCTGTACTTCTTCAGGAAGGATATAAAGGTCAAGGTTAGAAGGACTAAAGTGATTTACTAGCAGAAATCTGTTAGGTATTTTGAAGGGTGTTATTCAAATGTCTACTTTATTTCCAAACAAATGACTGAGCTTGGATTTGGGTGGTTTAGATTCCAAGACTGCTGGAAAGGAGAAAGCAAGAGATTTGTTACTATTATTAAAAAACTGAATAAATAAACTTCTCAAGGGCCTTTCTAGTCTAGACTGCAAATGTCAGGCCCTTCTGACTTCCACAGTTGATAAATGTCTTAATGACACATACTATCTACCACTGCCTCTACAAAGTGTGCCTCTGAGTGCTACCATGCTATCAAAACAATCAGCATCTGGCTAAGTTTGTTTCTAGTGATGTCTAAAGAAAAATTGATTTCCACTCATTATAAAACAATTACCACTTAGCTGGAGGTGGATTTCATCAACTCAAAAGTAATGAAATAGCTATGTCAGATTAACAGATTTAAAATAAATTTCCAATTTATTCACTTTTAGTTTTCTAAAGAAGCAAGTATGAGAAGTTGTAAAATTATTAGGTTCTTTTTAAGATGTTTGAAATGCCTTTTAGGAAGCCCTTGGACTTACCAATCTGCCCATATGATCAAACATCACTGAGAAAGTCAACTTCTATATATTCTTAGTTTAATAAATCTAGACTATTTGTTGTCTAATTTATGTAAAAACTTATCTGCCTCTACACTGTACTCTTTCAAAACATTTAGGTATTTCTTGTATCTATTTGGCTTAGTATTTTAGGTGAAAACTAAGAAAATTTGAGCGTGTTTGTCTTTCCTTTTTAACTTTGAAGCAAACTTAAGATGTATCATATTTAGAATTATTTCAATGTAAGCAGTACTATTTTGTTCACTGAGTCTTTGATAAACTTTGGCTACATTCTCCACTGTCCTCCACAAGAGCAGTGGCCCATTTCCTCCTCACTGCAACTTTACATGTTGGACATTCTCCATACAGAAAAGAAACTAGTTAGATGTACTCATATAATAAATGCCTTTTTTTTTTGGATCCTTGGATAGATCCCTGTGAGTTCACATGTAACCAGATGAAACAGAAGGCAGACTGTATATACCAGATTGAAGTATTCAGAGTTAGGAGTTGCATCACAAAGAGTAACATTATTCCTTCAGAAAATTCAAGATTAACATATTTCTAACGCTGCTTTCCTGAAGATATCTCCCACAAAGCGCCAAAGTCATGGCCAAAGAAGAGACCATAGCTAATTCAGGTGGCACTTCAAAGCTAAGTTGCTGCTGATGGACAATGTTCCTGCTGGCTTCCCTCATGTTCCCTCAAATATGCCAGACTTAGAGATGGGCCCCATGGCCATTCTATAGCATATCCAGCAAAGTTTCATGAACTCATTTTAGCAGAATTGTGTCAGATTATTCCCCCTCGGGTAGTTCTGCATGAAAAGACAAATGAGAAGTTATTATCTCTGTTTCTAAATGGAATCTCTTTATTAAACATGCATATTGTTCCTACAGTAAAACTTCAATGATTGGAAAAGAGTTATGAGCAAGATGTGTGGGTTTTTTCACCATTCTACTCTCTGGGAGTCAAACAGAACAGGTAGGCCAGCTTTACTGGTTTTTAGTGGCTATTGGCTTTGAAAATAATTTTGGTTAAATTTTGGTCCATTATCTCAATCTTCTGTGCTTTGTCATCTTGAACAAGTAGCTGGATAACAATTTAAAAATGGATAGATGTTTGGCATTTGGGAAAATTTTTTCTCTCATGAAATGATTGAATGAGACTGTCTATTAAAATAAAAAAATAATATATCTCTAGGTCTGCTGGACTGATATGCCTAGAAGCAATGTCATGTCACTTCTCTCCCTGCTAACTCCTTTATTCATTATCTCTCCTTTTACACTTAAAAGAAGCACCTTTAAGATCAGGGAATTTAAGTATAAATGGATTCTGGTCTCATCGTTTTGATATTTTTTCAATCACAAAACTAAATTTGAAATAGCTAGGTCATTAATGCAATGGGGTTTTTTACCTGTACTACCACGTGGATCACTTAAATTGAATAAAAAAGTATGTATCTTTTTTTACAAATAGCAAATTTTAAAGAGAATTCTCAAAAGTAACTTTGAGGAAAAATCATTAAATTTTGTCAATAAAGTATTGAGTGAGTCAGGCAGTTCTACTACTTTAACAACCAGGAAAGATCTCTGCCAAGAACTTCATGATGAATCTTTTGAAATTAAAATGCAAAACAGGATGAGATAAAAAGAAGGTCAGAGAGCTTGTGTGAGACCTTATCAGGCAAGACTTTTCATTACTATCCTCTTGTGTAACTTTTACTTTGGGTGCAAATGGGTTGTAAAAGTTAATGATTTAAGAACAGCAGAATCTGTGATGAAATCCTGCCCACAGTGTTTCAATATAGTTTGAAAGATTGAGAATAAGTGATTCATGCACTATGTGTTTAAAGGCAGATTAATTACTATATATTTTTTGATAGATTCTATAAGAATTTGTGGATAAATGTGAGGTACTCTACTGGTTCTGTGGAAAAGATGAAACCATATGTAAGTTATACCATTGCTCTTTGACTTGATCATCACTAACGAAAAGAAAAAAAAATGGTGGTGTCTCACTAGCTTGTAAAACTTCCCAAATATACACTTCTTCTGAAATGTACAACTTGAGAACTGTTAAATAAGAACCTGGCTTGGACCATTAATAAGCACCATCTGTTAAATGGTCATGTAAGATTTTTACATCCAGAAGGATTGTTTTAATTTTAAATTTCATGGATAGATTTTTTTAAACCATATAACGTTCTCCCGTTTTTTAAGACTGAATGTTGTGACTGATAAAAATGTGTGCATTTTCATACACAGAGCCAGACAATACAGGTTTTTAGCAGTGTTTATTTTTCTAAAAAAACAAAAGAAACCAATGAATTTGAAAGGAAGTTATATCTGTCTTTTGATTGCACACTTTTTAAACAAAAATAATACAGGGTGGAGAATGAAAAATACAATTTTTATGTTGCTACTTCGAAATAACACCTATGTCTATGAATGTTCAAAATTAAAATATATATACCAAGAATGCTAAAATGTCTATTTTACATTATCTACAAAATTATGTTCTAACCCAGCCACAAATCATAGGAAAATACTTTGATACATATGAAAAGCTATAAACATAAGGAAATTTTGAAGGGAAATAACACACATAAAAGCTCATTAAATAATTACAACAACAAATAAATAGTTTGTTCAGCTTTACTTTTTGATTGCTGCCATGCATATTTTAATTTTTGGTATACTGAGATAAGAGAAAGGTGAGCATGCAAAGCATCTTTTTAGAATGAATCTGAAAGCAGATACAAGGTGTTGTATTTTTAAGCTGTTGTCAGAAGTTCATAAAACATGATATAGAAGGCAATAGATGTGATAACTGTTCTCAGGAAAACACACGACAAAGCATCTTTTTACAAAATAGACTTCAGTGAAGACTCATGGCAAATTTTCTTTGCCTCCATGGGTGGAGAAAATGTAAAAGTTTATAGTATGGGCTTGGAAAGCTTGTGTTATTCCCCATCTTGAGCATCTGGAAAATCACCCAAAATGTCCATATGCTGAGAATGCCCCTTTTGATTTTGGTCAAAGCAAGTAGTGTCAACTGAGAACACAGCAATGGCAGACTTGTCTTTAAGCAGTCAGAAGGGTAAAGCAAATGGTTACAGGTGAGTTCAGTTTTGGCACGAGGAGAGGGAGATGAGAGAGGAGAGAATGTTTGACTTCTAACTTGTACTATGTTTGCTGGATTTACTGGCTCTTTTCCTCTCTTTGTGATGCTGGATAGGTTTTGCTTGAGAGGTTCCCTCGAAGTTGTGGCTGGACTCATTGTGCTGCCTGGTGTATCGCTTGCACTTGCAGGCTGTGACCACAGTTATTTTGTAGGTTCTTATACTTCCATCCTGGCATTGAAGCTGGATCCTCTGAGTGCGAGTTTTGTCGTTGACACATCTCCACTCCTGCGAGCTCCGCCTGCTCCAGTACTTGGTTCCGTAACCTCCTCCAATCCAGTTGGGGAGCAGTGGCAAAGGGAGGCATTCACCAGCACACACCAGTTCCTTCAGGGGGTTAATGCTGGTGCACTGGCCATCAGAAATGTACTTGGTGGATCTCAGTTCCCGGCAACCAACTTGAACACGATCTGTAGAATGCACAGAACAATAAACACTGAAATTCAGAATGGAGCAATTTCCTCAGCCAGTCATTTTCACATTAACCAGGTATGTTTTGCAGAAGTTAAAAGTAGGCTGTAATCTTTACAGGACATCTCTTTACTATTGTGTCCCCCAACACAAGGGCCTCAAGCGCTGATGGTATCTCTGGGTAATACCAGAGCATAAAGAAATCCTAATGATATGCACTTCAGCAGTTGTGGTAGAAGAGGCAATTTTATTCTCTATCCTTCTTCTCAGGGACATACCTTTTAGAAGAGAAAAATGCCCCAAGGGAAGAAGTGTTTCCTGTTTGTTCTCAATCTAGGGAATCTGCTCTGTGATGTTCACAATTATGTTGGATCATTAGCAAGGGGGAAAATAATGCTTTGGAAATGGTTTGTTTGCTTCTAAATGAATTTCAAACAGTGTGTGTCTTCTCTTTCCATGGTTACAGTGGACTGAGTCTCCCATGAACTCTGTGGCCTCAAACACAGATACTGCAGAAGTGGTAACAGCTGAAGTTACCAGGGAATGGGGTTCTGCCTATGAAATTTGAATGATTAGCAGTAACAATTTCAGAGGGGTCATTTTGCCCTCAGGATAACACCGTCTTTGTATCTGTAGTAGTCTGTATGTTATATGTTACATAGAGGATCCTGCAAATTCTCTCAGGCAACTGACAGAATCAACATGCAGAGCTTCTCATACAGGCATGTTTGTACCCGTCTATATGTGCGGCTCTGCGCTCCCTGCAATAAACACAACTGTTTATTTCAGTAATTACACTTTGAAATAAACGCCCACAGCGCGCTTAATTTTAATAAGCAATCTTTACTGGCTGTGCTCTCCCTCTTTCTGAAGGACAATTACGGCGCGGATTCTACACACAATGCAATTAACTAACGCTTTTAAAATAGAAGTAATTACTAGAAACATTTCAGAATGAATCATAAAAGGCTTTGAAGGTACATCTACATATCTCAGCTACAGGCTGCTTCTGTTTCTACTTGGATTTTTGGAAGCAAATTCTGAACAGAGACACTGCATTAAGATTACTTCACCCTATCCCCTGTGTCTCATGGTGGGCAGGCAGAGGGACTGTAAATCTGCAGGCTGACCCCAGGGACTAGTGACAGGGCTGCTGTCCTGATTGCCTTGCAGAAAAGATTCAGGCTTGCCTTCCTGCAGCTGCACTCAGGAATGTACCTGGAAGCAGCTGGTCACAGATCTAAGTTTGTCTCCTGTTTTTCTGTCTTTCCTGGCTCAGCTTTTTGCCAGTGACAGCTCATTGACAACGAATACCTACTGGGCTGTTCCAGTAATCTTATAATGATGAGATGTTTCCTGTGCGCTTAAAACCTCTGCGTTCACAGAAGCTGACACACCTGGCTTAGCTGAAAGGTATCGGTGTCACTCGTTGCCTTCACTTTCCAGGGATGACTATTTTTATCGAACTGTTGTGGGTTGGTGTGTGTATGTTTCTCTGTTTGGATTTGTTTCATTTTGAGGAGGTGGGCAGGGGAGGGAACAGATAAAGTCAGCAGGTTTCCAGATCCCCGTGTATCTGACATATATACATAAAACTCAGCAGGAGAAGACTAGATATAAGAAGGCAAGTTAGAGCAGAGATCATAGGTAAATTATGAGCTGATTTGTTTACATTTGCTGGAGGTGTTAAGCGGTTAAGAGCTATAGCAGGAAGTAAAACCAAACAGCGGGAACGAAATTCAGAGTATTTCATTGCATTTGAAAAGTAGCTCAGACACCTTCCCTGCTCGTAGTGGGAGATAAGAAAGCGAGCGCTCTGGAAATGCCTTTCACCCCTCTTCCTTTATCTCGCTTCCCTGCCGGATAACCCACAGAACGCGGCATTCCTGGATGAACCTCCCTCAGGAAGTAACCTGGCCGAGCGAGCCGGTCCTACAGGACTCCCCAGCACGGGGGAGGGCGGGCTGTTGGCTCGGGGGCCGCCTGGCGAGGCAGATCCCGGCCCGGAACCAGCAGCATCTCCCCGCGCCCCGGCTCCCCCCAGGCGCCGGTTCCCTGGAGCGCCGCGCTCGGGCCGGGGGGAGCACGGGGCGCCGGGCGGGATGCGCGGCTCCGGTCGGGGGCTCCGCTCCCGGGACCGGGACGGGCGCAGCTGCCGCCCGGGGCTGCGGGACGCGGTGGAAGTACCGCCGGTGGGATACTCACTGTTACGGTCGGATCCAGTGCTGGTGTAGTGCCTGCCTCCGTTCCTGGCTTGATTCAACGTGCTGTTGCTGCTTGGGCTCGCTGCAGCGGGTTTAACAACGTGTGAATAAAGTATCTCTGTGGCATCGTTCTTGAAAGCCAAGTAGCTTCTCGTGAAGATGAAAGTCAGGAGAAAGCCATAGAAGTGAATGGCAGGGAGAAGCATGGCTGGTTCAGCCTGTGTCTGACAGAGCTGGATGAAATCTTTTCCTTCTGCTTCTTCTGGGTAACTCTGCAATTGCTCTTGAAGATTTCCTTTATATATTCAGGGAGGTTTGGCATTCATTCAGGTGTAAAGTTGTGGATAGCTTCAGAATGAAAACCCACAAAAGGGGTGGGATCCCTACATGAGCTGCGAAGACCTTTCACCAATAGGAGAGAAGACTGCAGTAAAGGAGGAGTTAGATGCACTAATTGTAGGATTCCTATTTGGGGCTTTTGAGGGTATACAGAAAACTCTTAGGCACCATCAAACAGCAGAATTCGGACTGAGACCTAGAGACGGCCGTGTCTACTCTGCCATTCCCTGTAGCCCCATGTGCCTGGCACTTTTGTGTGATGTGACTAACACGGTGTCAGAATGAGTCGCTCTTGCTCCCCTTATGCGAAGTTTCATACCGTCTTCTCAAACTGAGATGAGCTCTGTAAGGATGCAAAAATTTATAGAACTTAAAGAAGACTGCTAGTTACACAAATACTGTCTGCAGTATACCAAGATCATTTAAAAAAATATTGTGAATAATTTAAAGCTGCCTCTAGATGCTTTAAATTATGCAGCTTTGATCAACAGGGAGCACTGCAAAAGAAATTGCTTGTTTTAGAGGAATATTCTCTCCCTGGTGTGCAAAGTTACAAGTATGTATTTCTGTATCACCACATAAAAAGTATCTCCTCTAGGCTCTTAGTACAAACATATCCATATTCATAGCCTCTCACCATGCTCATTCACCAAACTAGTCTTTTTTAGTTTTGTACATTGCCTAGAGCATTCTTATATTTTAATGCATTATTTCATGTGATAAAGGAAACAAAGAGAAAACATGCAAATCTCTTTCAAATTTTCAGAAGAATAATCCTTACTTTGGCACAGTTTTACTGTGTCAGGCAGTTACTTGATTTTACATAAAATTACATGGCCCAAATCCAAACACTAGTGTAAACTGAGATGCTGCCAGTAGGTCAATGCTTGTCTATATACTGGTGAATGTTCTATAGATTTTTGCTATAAATAAAACAACAGTGATCAACACTGAAAGGTCTAGCGTTCTAATTAAATGGAACCTTTTTCTTGGGAAAAAACACAACCTTGCAGAGGGCCACATTATGTAAAGGTTAGACTCTAATCTCACTTACACACTCAGTAACTGAGTTGATATCTATAGTCATACCGGATTTTATTGCTGTAATAAAAGCAGAAGTGGAACAGAGGTTAGTTACCTCTACTGCCAGGATCAAAATCTCAGTCATTCAGAGAAGATAACTTTGTTTCTTCCTAGTCACAAGCAGAGGTTTGTCTGCATCAGCAACACTTTCCTCTTGCATCACTAAGAAAGTTATCCTGGATTTCAGCAGGAGTAAGAACAGATCCACAGTAAGTGCCAAATTGATAGCCTTTGCTTAAAGGACACAGGAAAAACAGGAGTGTTGCAAGGTGAAGTGAGTTTTACTGGCAGAGCTGTGTGTGGGGAAGTTGAGTTGATTGCCTGCATCTATTATGACTAGCCCAACCCAGTTCTGGAATAACAAGAATGTTGCAAGGCAGAGCGAGATCTTTCAGCAGAGTAATGTATGGAGGAGTGGGATCACTGCTATCCCCTGACAGAGCTGCAAGTTCCACTCTCATGGAACATCTAATTCAACCACAAAAGCAAAGATGTGTGTTTTACCTTCCCTTGAAAAAAAAGTTTTCTTAAGCAAATATCAAAAAATATATGTACATTACAGACCATTAATATTTGAGCTTTTTTTTTTTTTTTTCAATAGCAGTGAACCAAAGGTCTACTTTGTTGATGTTCAGGTCCTACTTCATTTTTTCTCATACTCACAAATCATAAAGATCTTCACATATCTCACCTTCCCTCCAGGATAGTCTCTGTGCTGAATTGAGCCACTATAATTAAAAGCATGGAACCAATTTTCCAGTTATCCACAGTACCCGTGTGTACGAGTCAGGGGACCTCTTCCTAGTAGAGAGATTTTCCCACATTAGACAAGACTTAAGAAAGTCAGAAGTTTCCTTGAAAACTGTTTTCTTTGAAATAAGGCATATAATCTTCTCACAGGGCAAGTGCATGGGGCTTTGGAGTGGTTATAGAACTGGGTCTACAAGGAGCTTGCTAAGACTTTTCAGCTTTCAATGAAAGCTAAAAGTCATCCTTTCAAATTTAGTCTACTTGAAACCATTAAGTTCGTCACGTAGATCTCTTGGTCTTGTCACTTAGAGAAGGAAGACCTCAAGACAAGCCTCTCATGTCCTTTGTAAAGGAAAAGTTTGACCCTGAATTTGCCACAGGAAAGAGAATACAGATTACCTCATTTTTCTGTGCATTAGACACAGAGTAGACATTATTTTAATTTTATTTGTATTTTCCACCTGTTAAAAATATGGTATGAAAGTATCATAATTTCAGTTCCTTGGTCAGTACAGTCAGCCTCCATGCTTTGAGAGGTAAGCAGGCTTTTGAGGAGTTTGTCAGTTAATTTGATTTATACTTTCTTAATCAAACCTAGAGCTTGCAGTCTTCCACTTTTTCTGAGTCTCCCTGAGAGAGTTTAGAAGTTGCTCGAGAGGAAGGGATTCTAGTCAGTCAAATTTGGTCATTCTTCCACAATGAACTTCAGAATCAAAAGGTGTTTCTTGTTGCTTAGCTCAGAATGAGTTCCCAGACTTTACATATTTTTTACTATCATTAGTTAGATGTTGTGATAAATTCACAAAGGTGAAGGCTGTAAGTTACCACTGTAGCTTCCAAAACAGACTTATACAATGTATAGTCCTCATTTTAGTCAGATTCAATGATTTGTTTAGAAGATTGCTCTGCTTAATCTGTAATATTGGCCATAAGGAATATATTACACAAGGTCTTTGAAGTCTGTACTGGCTTCCTTTTTGCCTCTGGGCATAACTCAGGATGTTCTTATTGATCTATAAAACCCTATATGCTTTGAGTCCTAGGCAATAAATTCTATCTCCTTTATCTTCCATTGTGATGCTCAAGATCAGCTGGGGCACACTGACTGTACCTGAGTGTCTGGAGAGGTTAAATGCTCAGTGTGAAAGGTCCAGGAGACTGGATTTCACTGCTCCTAAGGATCCAAGAGAGCTTTTTTCAACTACTTGGCATGGTGTAAAGGCCATTGTTTAGTCAGGTGCTTGAAAGGTGACTGTTGGGAAGGCACAGGGCAGAAACCCATTAACCAGATTAATTTAAATGTTTGTACATATACCCAGAAATAAAGTGCTACATTTAACTACACACTTTTTTCAATTTAACTGCTCCTCTTGTCTTAACAGCCTTGCTTCTGAGTGAACCTAAACATAGTGGTAAAGCCATCCATCATGCTTCAGAGAGGATGGTATCCAGAGTTATACACACCTTAACTCTTGCCTTTTCCATTTTCTGTGATGGAAAAAACACATTTCTCTCAATGGATGTAGAATTAGGCATACATTCCCTAAAGATCCCAGAAGAGAATTCACTTCTTTATGGTCATTTATAAGTCTGTCAAGATCCCATCCTCCATGTTTCTTAGACACTATAATGATGTCCAAAGGGCAAAGTTTTGTGCAGAGTGCACACACCTGTCTAGCAGCACAAAACAGCCACAGGGAATAGAAGGGTATGCACTGACAAGTACAAATGACTGTCAGAGAGCCTTGTCTTTGCAAATCACATGATCACTGCACATGCATAAAATAAGAAGGAATCCTCAATTTTTCATAAACTTAGGCCTGTCCTGTTTTAATAATGACAGGAAAAGGCCAAAATTAGAATGAAGGCACCTTGGAAATAAAGGTTGACAGTTTGGTTTTATATATTTTTTTTTTTAATCCCAAAGACCATTAGAGTACTGCACTTCTGACTTGTTTTCAAAGGCAGATACTTTGAGAGTAAGTATAGGCTCAGATAAATGACTGCAAAAAAGAAACTGACATTTATTACTTTGCACCTTAAAACAGAAATGACTGTCAGGCTATTTTCTGTTAAGCAATAAGCATATTAGTAATGCACTTCAAAGCAGCATAAAATGTGATTTGGAGGATGATAAGAGAACTTGTCTGAAAGTGAGGTAAAACTGTAATAAGTGCAACTGTTGAGAACTTGTAAGCTGTTGTGCAACAAGTTAAGTGTAATTTTAAAGCTCATACAGAAAACATGTTAGAGAACCAAGATATGTCCCCGTGCTGCAAATTCTAAAACCAAAGATTTTTTGAATACTTTTTTCTATAAAGACAGAAGTTTTTCTAGACAGACACTTTTTAATTTTCTAATTAAATTACATTTGAGAGATTAAATGGAAAACATAACATATATTCTTATTAGGGAGAATGACTAATTAGTTCTGATTTATGCCTTCGTCTCTCTAAGATGCCGTATTACAATTTTATTTTTTCTCTACTTGCTCTTATACATAATGTAGACAGAATAATTTAGGTCAGACTGTGGCTTCAATGGAGGTAATTTATCACTTTTATTAAAAAAGACACTGAAAAGGGGGAATATCTAAGTTTTTTAAAAAATTCTAGGAAAATGTACAGTAGAATGAAGAACTGTCCGTGCTAATTATAATTGCCACCTCTTCTTAAGCATTTGCAGTAATATTTTAACACAAGATTGGAGACAATGTGGCTTATCATCCAAAACAAGTTTTATGATTTCTGCATGTGTTGAAGAAGAAAAACCAAATATGTTTTCCAAAGGAAAAAAAAAAGAGAATAACAGCTTGTCCACTCAGGATAACATTTTTGGAAACTCTTAAATGACACCAAAATGTAACACTTCTATTTTAAAGAGATTTAGGGCAATAAATATAGATTTTATTTTTTTTTTAATGCACATAGACACTGAAGTCAACTGGACTTCAGTATCTACATACTTTCTAAAGTGTTGCCCTAAGGAGTGAAAGTCCTATTGATTTTCAGTGAGCCAGTCACTTAAATGCTTTTGAAAATTTTACCCTCAGGTTAAAATTCTGAAACTCCTACTCAATGTTAAACAGGCAAAGTCCCATCAACATGCCCTAGTTGCAAATAAAATAGAAACTGAGTAAGGGTTTTGAAGTCTGACTTGTTTCTTTACATGTAATTAACTGAACTCTTAATATATCACTATGTTTCAGTAAACTGCTTTGTGTTT